GATTGTAGAAATCGTAAAATTTAAAAACAAGCTCATGTAATGGCGTAAATTATTTTAAACAGGCATTTTTTAATGTACTAAAATAAATGTGTAAAGTTTTTCATGAGCTACTCAGTAATCAATAGGCTTCATTGTAGGACACGTTTTGTTTTATACGCAACCTTGAGTGAGACTCGGTAGCAACTTTAAACGGTTTGGGTTGTCGTTTGGTCCAATGTGGTTGTGGTTTGTTATCCGGTGTTTAGTATTTGTGGAATTAGTCACTGCAGAAAAAGAATGCAGTGAGGTATGAACTTACCAACGATTAATTTTTAGTCGGAAGTTAAATATATCAGCACCGAATGTGCACCTGATGGAAGTCATTTTATCATAAAATTTCCAAAGAATCCTTCATTATGCGTTGTTACTGATGCGCCAAAATTAATGAAAGACTGCAGTAAGCGATAAACTTGCAACAATCTATTCTTCTAGCTCAAAAGTGCCCTGTGGGACAAGCTCTAAATTTAACTTCGAACATCTGTGAAGATTGTCCAGTCGGAACCTCGGCTCCTGGCGACGTATACGAGGTGAATTATTGGTCGGTTCTGCCAAAGGGTTTTTATTCCGATGTGTTTCACAGCAGCAGTAAGAAATCGTGCAACTCGTAAGTTAGCAGACATTGAGAAATTTAGCGTCATTTTTGCCTGTTGGTGGAAATATTTCGAAAAAGATGGTTAAGCAAGTTTTCTGGTTACAGCCGAAGATGTCATATTCGCTTCCATACCTTTAAAATGCAAATAATATGTGTTTTTTTCCTGCATCAACTGTTTTTATTCAAGAAGGAGGCCTAAAGTTTGCGCCATAGTGACTAATCTAGCCAATAAAGCATAAAAGATCCTCCCTTAATTATTTCTATCGCAGTCGTATTTGTGCACAAATTCTTTTTGACCCCACTTACTTTAGTTGTTGCCTTTTTTTATCTTTATTTTAACTGACAATAAGCCTTATCTGAAATTTTAAAAAAATTATTTTGATCACAGTTAATTTTATTTGGAAAAAACGTTAAACCATTTTTCGTAATTTTAATTTCATTTTTATTTAAGCTTTGGGTGGAAACCTCAAGGTTCTTACTTACTTGGAACATCCAACTCATACTGTGCAACGGAGCTAACACTAGAAAACCATAACATCGAAGAGGGATTAGTCACATTCCAATATCAGTTTAATGACCCATTTTTAATGGCCTACTTCACAGTAAGTTTTACGCATATTTAAATAACAAACGTTTTAGGTTCGAAACGACCGCTGTGTATTGGATGGTGGCAAGAGTTACATTTTGCCACCCAGTTCCAGGCGTAAATGGAAATCTCACACTGCACATGTTCCTGCTGGAATTTCAACTTTACAATGGTATCTCTTCCCAGAAAACGTCTATGATTCATGGACGGTGACGACAGAGTTTAAACTAAAGTCAGTTAAAGTGACAGGAAGAGTGTCTACAATCCATTGCTCAGAGTGCAAACCTGGTTTCTACACCAACCACACAAAGTCCAGTGATTGCGAGATTTGCCCACAAAACACATTTTCTGGAAGGAGAGCCAGCTCCTGCACAGATTGCCCATCTGACGAGTATTCTTGTAAGCAATCCGTCTGTTTTAAAGTTATGTCTTGCTGTCTCTGGACAAACTACGGTATTGTGTGTGTATTATACAAAAACCTCTGCAAATATGACACTGATGTGATACCATACTCAGTAAATTGTTGCTTTAAAAAGGCAACATACCTTGATTTTATTTTTTTGAATCACTTTAATTAGACTTTTTATGCAAAATATAGCCTAAGAAACCTCACATCTTTATGTTCCGTCAAACTACGTGCCGGGTATGAACGGCATTTTTATTTTTCACTATGTAACTTATTTTATAAATCTACCCATTCATCACAGAGCAGTTTTGCTGACTCTGCACCTGCTACTAAAGTTAAAAAAATATTGTTCATTGTTTTGCATAATTGATATATTCATAATGATCTTACTTCAGAAATTATTTACCTAGGCGTCCCTCAATCTACGGTATATTTAACTTATGACCGAATTGTCTAGTATCGAGAAAAGAAATTTTACTTCAATTTTTGACGTTTATTGCAGAAGTAGTTGCTTATACTTGGACCACCAGGTGGGGAAAAGTTAATTCCTTACTCAAAATGCAAACAAGTTGATTATATGGTACTTAAAAACATAACCGTTGGGCCGAAAATATTTCGTATTTGGTCATTTTACGTGACGAAGCCAAAGCAATTAGCAGACGCACATGCCGATTTATCGCATTCAAATCTACCTGCGCTAGCACCAGCAACTCACATTCTGTGAATTACTCATGTCTGCACTAAACGCGGACTCACGCTGCCTGGAACGCCCCAGTTCGCGCGACATTTGTTGGGTGCGGAAATGGGTTTGTCAGTTACCGTAGCGTCTTCGATACACCCGATGAGTGTTTGGTTAGTCCTTAAACTTTTGCTAGTTCCTCATTGGTCCACTGGTATTTAGGGATTATATGAGTGAATTTGCTGGCTATAATGTCATAGCTTAACAGGTCTTAGCGAGTCAGGATTCGGAATGTAAACTAAGTGTAAGTTTAGTAAGCACTGACAAATCATTAGGCCACTTTGCCTAAACTTTATCAAGGGCTACTTCACATTTGGAAAAAAACCTGTTTGGTATCATGCTGGACGAAGGCGCAGTTTGCCAGCATTGCCCGACTTCGAAACAATTTAACTGCGCATTTTAATTACCTACAACACTTAAAATGTGCTAATTCATGACGACAACTCTGCGTTTCACGTTGAAATTCCAGAATAAATATGGTCCCACCCAACTGGAACAGTGTATCATTATTTACAATGCTTTCCACGCCCCTTTTATTTGTTTACATCCAAATGATTTCGTTGCTTTTATGAACACGTGAAAATCCCCGTTATGTCTTTTAGACTCAGTTATGATTATGAGCTAGATTTCCGAAAAAAATACGTCATTTTAACTAATCAGGCTACCTATCTCCAAATCATGGAGTTCACAAGAACACTTATACTTTTCGAGAGCCTGAAATACAAGATCGCACTTTTGCAAAAGTGCTTTCAAACACTTAAAACAGTCACAGTCGTTGCTTAAATGACCACTTCTTTAGAAACAGTCACACCACTTTAATTGCTTCATTTCTGGTTTACCAACGTGTTTGAAGTAAACCAAATTTTTAAAGCGTTCTGCAGTAGAATGCCACCCATATTTAATTTGACGCGAAGCAATCATCCCCAGTTTGAATAATGCCTCCAATGACGGGTTTTTTTGCATATCGGTTGCCATGGCTGCCCGAAACTGTGTAAACAAGGCAGCATAGTTGATGTGTCTTGAGCTGCTTTACCATGCAGGAGAAAAGGTACATGTAACGTAGCGAAAGCCAGTCTCATAGCGAACCATCATTACGTTGCGAGATCAAAATTTTTACGACTAATAACTTCGTAGAACTTCAAATTATTAAAATTTGTTTGTTTCCAATAATTTGTGCTATTTATCAGGGAACCTTAAACTACTTTGTTTAATGGGAAATTTATAATACGCGTGCATATTCCCTTTTTTACTAAAATATCCATTGTGACGTCGTTGCTTGTAGAATTCTGACAAAACTATCTCACCACTTGCATTATCCTGTCACGAATTTTCTCTGAAGTCCACGTCTATCAAAATCAGAAATGTAAATTTCCGATTATAAATGAAAACGAAACATTTAACTAATTTTAGTGCCCGGGTCGAGTTCGTGTACCAAAAGGCTGCCATGTGTGGATACCGAGTACACCACCACCTACAGCTCCTGTTCTGCTGATACCAATATGGCAAGTTTTTTTTCACAAAACTTAACTAAGTGACATATTTATGGGGATAAGAAGGCTGAAAATTATTACCTGATTTCGACTTAGTTTAATTTCATGTTGACCGCCTTGTTGTCAACGTGTTTGCTGTCAAAAAACCGCGTCATTGCAGTCCGTCGAAGGCAGAAATTAGTGAGCTGTCCGGCTTTAATAGTACAGCCCATAACTTGTGCATCACTTAACAAAGTCCCATAATGCAAAAATGGACGTTATTTAATCGGTCCAGTCCATTTCGATAACCACGAAGTTTGGCAACTCATAAAAGTCTTAGATCACTTCAATTTTATTGCTACAAGACGAATTGTTGATTATCAAAACTCGCTTTGTTGGAACTCGTACGAACCACATAAATTATCAGATTGCACCGGAGTCAGTGTAATTGGAAGCCAAATCACACATTGAGTTGAGCCAATGCGTAACCTCTCTCCCGGATTTAGGTTCCGATTGGTTTGGTGCAGGTCAGTAGAACTTCCTGTATGTTCCACTTGAAAAAGGAACATCGTCGCATGACCGTTTTGATTTATGATTTAATTAATTTATCCTTCCTGAGAATGCGTAGGGTGTCAGTGACCTCGGAGGCCGATATCCTGATTGGTCGCTTTGTCTAAGGTCAAACAAGCGCGAGTTGCTGGAGGGGAGTTTGTGGTGGAGCGTATTAAGGAAGATGCTGGAGCGAATCCCTTGAAGTTTTATTGTGTCTACGTTTTGATATTTGCTCAAAGTACTATTCCAGATCCAAATGAGACAGCATTTCAGAATCATATTGCGACTAGGTTGGCAATGTTGTGCAACATTGTTAAGCGAAACTTATTGGCACTTGGGTCGCTGTCACAAGTTTCTTCTTTCTCTGATTCCGCAGTAATTTCGGATTATCAGAAAGAGTCTTGCTCTGGTATCGAAAGTAGTTTCAACAGTCGTATAGTTGTTTTTTTCGCCTACCACAGTCCCGGGCCTTACACGAAAGCCAATAACCGATTATTCTCAGTAATAAAGTTAAAAGGAAGTCACATGTATCCTGCGCCAGATGATATCAACAACTCACTACAAACACTTTCCTCTAATGTGAAATAAGGAGGCGCGTTACAGAAGATCTGTGATTAATGCCTTTCGGCAGAACGTTTGCACTTTCTCCCCTGCAGCATCACCTGACAACAAAACTTATCCAGCCGGTGATCTGCGAGGCCAACTCGCCGACGGCGTCTGCAAAACCACGAGGACCAGAAGAAAAATGCAGCCCTTGCCCACCAGGCACGAAGACCCTTAATGGCACCCACTGCGTTAGCTGTCCAACTGGTTTCATTTCAGCCAATCACAATGACAGCTGTGTGGCGTGCCCCGCCGATGAGGTGCCTGTGTTTGGAATCAAGTACGACACCTGGAGTCGAATGCCTCCAAGGTTGGCCACGTATTGCCTCGAGGAGGGTAAGTGACACAGACCCACTGATTTGAGTTCTTTCTACCGATTAAAAGTTATCGAATTGGCTTACAGAAGATGAGGTAGAATTTTTATGATGGTATACGGGATTCAATTAGTAATCTAAATTGCAGCATATGCTTTGACTAAAGTTTTAATCAACTGCTGATGTTTCTCCTTGCCGTTTGTTAGGTTAAAGAAAAACTTTTTCAGGCTTGAATTGTATTGGTCCGATTGCTCTATGCATGTACACGGGGACGTATACTGCGACCAGAGAAAACGGACACACAGCTGCTGATTAGATGCCTCATCCCGCCTGTGTCGGTCACGTCGTGGCCATTCAGAGTTGTGCGTAGCTGGGTGAGTTGCTGACGTGGACGCGCGGGACATGTCAACCAATAATATTCCGAATGCAAAAACAGCTAAATGATAGCGGCAGGACTGCTTACGCGTTTGGGACGCGTTGTGGAAGATGGGGGGGGGGTGGATAGGGTGAAAGATATCATTTTGATTCACTGGTAATTAGATTTCAAGCAAACAGTTACTCTAGTTGAGCTCATATTCTTCGCCGACTCTAATTGAACTCGCATTGAAGTTATTTTATTTTGAAATTTCTTCAGGAGTGCCCTTGATACTTGGAAACACAGTTTTCTTTGCAGACGATTCAAAATTTAGATTTATTTTTGATTTGCATTTTAAGAAGTGTGGTTTGAAGCCATGAACTAGTGGAGCAGCATATACTAGCTGCCAATTACCTTATTCGAAAGGCAGTTCTGCACTATTCTAGCCTTTTTTTATGTCGCTGGTGATGCTTTGCGGTACCTCTAAATCGATAGTCACTTTGCCACGCAGTAGTACTATAAACGTGACTATATCCTGCTGCCTGGTCTGCGTTGGAGTCGAATCCACACACACAAAAGGCTAAATTTGTCAGAGGTTTGATTAGTATTGACAATCTAATAGCGAAAACGCTGCATTCTTGCAGACAGGTACACTTGCGTGGTACTGCATCGTCTTCGCTATAGTAAGCCCCCTTTATCCCCCAAATTTGAAAATTACTTTCCTTACTCTTTCAAAAAAAAGCCTTTTACTATCATCAAGGCATATCATTCAGCTTGTGCACTACCGTTAGTTCGATGTAAGGTAGACTCGATCTGACCTACAACCGACTCGCTCCCGGCTCAAAAGATTCCTGATTAACTCCATGTGGTTTGTGTTGCTGTGCTTCAAAGTGTCGCCGAATACTCAAACAAAGATTTCACATTGCAGATTCCAGCGATACAATTTTGCAGTTCTCTTTTCTTATTAGACATTGGTTCTTCTCGGTTTACTTTCGACTTTCGAAGGAACAAATTTTCATCTTGGTAACTCAGAAATCACAGATGAAGTTTACCCAATTATAATACGACGTGGTCTGAATTGAAAGTCGTTTGGCGGGCACTTATTCCTGGTGATAAATATATAAATATAATGGCTGAACAATGTTTCTTGACAGTGAGACCTAAATTTAAATTGGACGCAGCTAAACCAAGTCCCGTGTTGGTGCTCAGCGCCTGATGAACAGGCAGAAGACAGTAATGAATTGAAAATGAACGTAAGTTTATGCTAATGAAGAAGCTACGTCGGTTAATCTGTTCCAGCATTAATTAGTTGTCTGTTACCACGTAGCACCGATACTGAAATATCCAATGTCCTCTGAAATGTGCTAAGTGCGAATCCAAGAGATTCCAGTAAATCCTGAATTCAATTACTAGTTGTAGTAGCCCAGAATCCCTTTCGAAGAATCGAATCGACGTCTAGTTGTGTCTACAAGTCAACTCAAACGCATTATCTCAGCCCTAATTTGTTTAATCGAGTTCCTTTATCATTTTTCAAAGAAACAAGGATAATTCTATTATTCCTCTATCTTGTGTGTGCAGAAATTTGCCCAAACACTAGAAGTCCCGTTGGAAAATTTTTATGCGATCGAGCGCAGGGACTAAGTAGGTAGAACGGAAACCCTTTTTGAGTCGTTATACGATCGTTAGGGGCCGTTTTATCATTCTTATGGAAGATTTTAGGGTTAACATTGCGAATGCTTATTGTCAAATAATTTTTCTTCCTACGCCAAAAATTCATGATCGACTGATGGTGATATTAATATTGACGCACCTCTGCAACAATCCTAGCGTTACGTGACAGTGCACATTAAATTTATCATAGGCGGTATGGGTGCCTTGACGCCGAAATTACTACTTTCATTCATGTTTTGTGTGCACGAAACGAAAAGTGCTTGCGTGTGATGGACCCTTGGGCGTTTCTAGTACTCATCCAGTCAACTCAGATGTAGTCACTTTGCCTTTTAGCTTCTCTTTTTATCTAAAAGGTATCTTGGAAGTAAGATCGAGAATATTTTTGGTTGCGCTAAATACTACTAATGGTAATGGTGTTGTTATAAACTTAATTTTACATTGACAAGGTCGCATCTTAGCTCCAAAGCCAACAGTCAGGTTTTACTGCGTCATGGCGCAAGTTAAACTCATCTACGACTCACTTTTAGATGTTAGCAAACGTGTCTCAGCAAGATTTCACCTAAGTAGTTTTCTCACGTAAAACCGTAAGATATGGTTGCATCCACAGTTCCGTCACTCACCTGATAATCTTCCGATTTTCTCCACTCAATAAAAATGGCAATCGTCAGCATGAGCACCAAACAGGTTAAGGAAAAACAATCCTTCTATGAAAAAAACACCACTCACCGAGGTGCTTGATTCAGTTGAGCGGGTAACCTTCATCCAGCATATTCCGCTTAGTAGCTACAATTACGACCTTGAATGCGGTGACCTTGAATGTGCTAACCAATTGATGTTTTGCGTCCAGATGTCACCTGCCAGCCGTGGCGCACGAATGGCTCGTCGATTTTTGTGGGTCCTGGCCTTAGCAGCTTTGTCCACTCAGTTCTCGAGCTTGAATTGCTGGATGGTTTCATTGGACCGAAGCTGAATATGCCATTTTATCTTGACCCTTTCATCCGTCCCCTTCCTGGCACAAAAGTCGTCTTTGACTTTGAGCTCGACTGCCGAGCCAATTGCACACTTACCTTCGCCGTGGTAGGTTTCTTTGTACTTGCGATAGCTTTTTTTAATTCAGAAGTTATGATGCAATTCTAGTATAAACGCCCACCTCGGTATTCTAGGGAATCAGACCCCGATTCTTTTAACTCTGATGTAGATCTTGCGTTTTCAGGGATTTGCCCAAGGCCGATATAAAATTATGCCCACTGATAGCTGGCAAAGCCGCACATTAAATCCCTACAACTTTCTTATCCTGTTGTCCATTATTTTACGAGCAAACTCAGCTTTGAGTATAATCGTGCGGCTTTCTCTGGTTTTGTGCATGTCTACTCCGACAAAGTACACGAGGCGTCTAATGGTCCTAGGATGCTTTGGTCGACTTCTATAAATAAACACTGCTTACGGGACTTGCTACCCAATCAGCGTTTAGTGAGCATGGTCGCCAGGTCGAAACAACCAATCAGCAGCGACTTCCATTGTGCTTTATCTGTTTTGTTGTAACGGTGGTGGGTAAAATACATGCAGCTGGTTAAATTTGAATCAACTATATTTATATAATATAGTTTATATTTACCTGCCAAGGTTGCTAACTACTCCCTCAAGGTAGTCTTGAGAATTTGAATCACGCCGCTTAAATGCAGCGGTTAATTCTCCTCTATTTCGCGCGAAAGGAAGTAGTGACATGTTAAATCGGCACTCTATTTCGGTTAATGGGATAGCACTTGACATCTGGGTATGGTATAACTTCATTCTGTCATTTTAACGGGCATCTACAGCCCGTTGAATATATCGATTGTCAGGAATATATCACTTTATTAGGACACGGCTGTGTTTAATTATATATAGGATTCGCTATCGGAGACACTGCTAATCCAGAAATGGAATGGACCATTGAAGCGAATGACTTATACGTAAGTACTTTACGAACCGATATTGATTTAATTTGCTTTTCCATGTGTCGCGTGCCTGGAAATTGCGGAGTTTTAATCAAAACGTTTGCTTTTGAGAGCTAGGTCGAGGTGACAGCGCCAGGCAAAATTTAAATATCTGCTCATGTCAATGATGTCAAATTAGGCCGACTTCCACAAAAGTGAGGCTGAACACATTGATCGTAATCTGCACCACTCAGTAGACGGGAGTTCGGATTTCTTTGTGATTTAAACAAAGGTTTGTGGTATTCCGTCAGTTGCTCAAGTGGTAAAGTTAAGGGCCAGTTAGTTTATTTTGTGCCTACATAATGGGCATTTCTGCAGCTCGATTAAAGCCTAGAGGTAATGCCAACAGTCCCTTCCCTAACAACGTTGAGGATTATATATATTTAAACACAACACCTACTTTGTTTGTTTCAGTAACAATTTTTGTAGATCGTAATGTATTCTGCTGTTACACAGGTACACACCCGGTGAGTGTGAAGGCGCTAGTTTCTTGTGGCTATTTGAACGCTGGAGTGCTAGTGGATCAAAATGGGATCCAGCGAGTAGAAACGACAAAGCAATCATATATTCGATCGCTGTGAACAACACTCGTGAAACTGGGGCACTTGGGTGCAAAAAATGCCCCCTCGGAATTGACGGACAGTTGTGAGTGTTTTGAGAGTACCTTTTTGACTAAATTGGTGTCGGTCATAGGTTAAACAGCTTAAGAAATAGTTTTTGGGAGGTCATGTGATCATCTGCCTGTAGCAGTTACTTTATAATTCTCCTCTGACAGATAGAGTATCCAGTAACAAATAATTTCGTGAAATGGATATACAATTTGTATAAAACAATTGTCGACTTTTTATCAAATATGGGTCAAGGCATGCCAATATTAGGAAGACACAGTTAACATACCAAAATCAATACTCGGAGATTAAAACCAATTCTTTGAATGCGATCACCTAAGACGGCACAAGCATTCATCAATTGAGTATTTGGAGGGATGGAGGTTGACCTACGCCGTTGAAATTCTGTCGACGCGGTCGGTAAAATTGGAGTGTCTTCGGTCGAATCCCTCTATTTCACGGTCTCCTAGGTATTCTGTATCACTGCTAGACTACAATTTATGCGATGTCCAACCTGTTCTTCTGATTTGGTTTTGGTGATATTTGAGGTTGTATGGATCCATGTTATGCACTAAAAATTTCCAGCTTGTTTACTTTTTGATCATCATCGACAAATCGCATCTATTTGCTACATGGGGTTATTTGCAGTCATTATACGGTAAAGTACGCAAGACCGTTTACATGTGGAACGTGTTAACTGTTCACGAAAGAACATGATTGCTGCATTAAAAGCCTTCACATAATCACACATGAAGCTTAATTCTTAGCAAGTGAAAATTCCTTGAGTCAGACATCAACCAGTCGGCGAGTAATCTAGCCGAGTTATACGTGGAAAGACGTTGTAACCGATGTGCCATTTACGACATGGTTGCTTTTAAAGTTGGCGTTCGGAGTGCGCGCCAATTTGCATTAAAGGACAGAGTTTTGATACTATCATGTTTATGTCTGGAGCAAATGTTCGTTTCTCATTTACTCCACGACAAAGCTTTACATGAACTTTAAAAAAGACAGATTCGTAAACGTGATAAGCTGTAATTTTTGTTATACAAACAGACTGTGCTGTGATCACTACAGATATACTCGAGTAATTTTAAAGTACCTACAAGCACTGTTAATCATACCTAACGTGGAAACAGAGGTGGTTATTGCTAAGGCAGAATTGACATGCACTTTTGCGCGAACACAGTTGCAAGCCTTGCAAAGACGGTCTCTTCTACACAATGACCAAAAACGCAACGACGGGTGTGGAGCGAGCTGAGTGCGTTCCCTGTCCGAATGGAACCATGGTCATCGGCGACGCCTCTGACATCATGACGGTCGACCAAGCCTGCATTCGGTGCCCTCCTGGAACCACCGCGGGACCTGCCAGCGACTGCGTCACCGACTTGTATCCTGAGGCACCGAGCGGACAGAACTATGACTTCTCAACTCTGCTAACCAAGTAAGTGGAAATCACAGTTGCGGTCGCAATTCATCCATAAGGAATTCTTTCAGCTTGTGAGTTGCCGTTGCTTTAGGAGGCCACGCATTTTGGGTTAATAGAAAGAGTACACGTTTATATCATCAGAGAAATTAATAAAGCAATCAAATAAGGTGTAAATGGCGGTGAATATGTCATAGAAGAGTCTAAAATTTATTGTAAGACGTGTTTATGCACATAAAATCAGGCGTGTAACAACCAGTTGCACAAGGATTTTTGCACAAACATTTGCCGGATTCCCTTTTGATGCCAACTTTTAACTCAGGTGTTAATGTTGTAGACGATTTGCAGTGAGCGGGTCCAAACTGTTCACACCTCAAGGTCACGCATTCCAACAACATTTCAAGTTGTACCTCGACACACGTTTTCCATCTCAACGTCCGACGTGCATTAACGACAACAAACAAGATGTGAGTTTCCTTGGACATATATTATTCGTCTAGTTATTTGCCACTAGATTTTCAAGATAATTTCACGATGTTAGACATCAGAGGTGAGGTGACATTAAGGATAATAAGATGGAAATATGTCTCTCGCCACACATGATTGAGCTCACTGAAGCGGATAAATAAATGGAGCATGCCGTAATCAGCAATCAATCAATCATAAATAAATGGATTATTGCTTGAGTAACCAATAAATGGAGCATGCTAATCAGTAGCCCCGTAAAATCATGGCAGCGCTGACGTGTTGCGTGAAGTCAATTAGTTAAACTCGATTTATTAATGCAATAACGCGTTTATTTTGAAGTACTTGCACCTGTTGCTTAGAGATTTTCATATCGTTTCGATGACCAGCAGTCCTACTTAACCATGAAATAGCACGATCATTTGACATTTTTTGACTTTCGTTCATAGACGTTCTGCCCTCCTGATTTCCACGATTCTGTGGCTAGATCAAATTTGTGCCCGACTTGACTTATCTTCGAGGGTGGTCCTAAGAGTAGAAAAAATAAAATCGCCTTGAAGCGCAGTGTAAATTCCGTGGTCTGTTGCAATGGCCATTAGCATCCTTTTCAAAACTGGCACAATTGACCTGTTACAGATAAACGCATCGAGCTGTTGCAAACTAACACATGTTTCGAGATACTTTTTGTGTCATCCTAAGCCTGCAGCTATCGGTTTTACTGGTGAATCTAACTCCCAAACAAAAGAATTCTGTCTACAATTTTGGCTCACTTTGATTTTGCAACGCCATCTGCAAAATTACCTCGATCTTTCAGGAAACGGCTGAGTAGAAGTAGTTTGGATATGCAGTTTTTCGTTATGCACGAGGTTGATATTCATTAAATGGTTAGGGCACAGTAATGGCGTTCGTTTCGTCAACCACACAACCCTTGTTACCTTATACTTATGAAGACGCAATGCATCACATATAACGTTTAACGCGCGTGCTCAATAAGTTGTTTTTTGCCCATTCACCGTCGTAAAAGTAATTTCAAGGGACTTTAGTGCGTTATGTTTTAAGGTGTGCTGCGTTACGCCTACATTAGCCCAAAATATCACTTCTAATAACGAAGATTCATTAAACACAATTTAGTCTCCATGCGTATACGTGCAGTTGTATTTACGTTATATGTTTTAGTGTTAAAGTAGCCGGAGTAATGCATTAATGGTTAGAATTGTTTGAGGTGTAGAAATAGTGTTTTCAGTGCATCAAAAAAGCTGTTGGCAACGGAGTTGTTTTGGTAATTTATCACATAATTTAAGAGACGCAAGGTATATATAATTTTGCTTTGAAGTCACCAATTTAGATAAACTCAGCTTTGTTACCAGACTAAACTACTTTCGAAAGCCGTAATTGTGTGTAAACGTTAAGAGTTATTTTTTCGTAGTGTTGAGTAGGTTTTAATATTTCTGTTTTCTGCTGTCTCTTGTACTATTTTTGCATCAACTTTGAAACAAAACACGGTGAATTTTTTCAAGCATGAATTCCTAAATGACAACCCAGCGTACTCTAGTAACAAAATCATTCTGTGACATTAAATGTTTTTGAATAGATAGTATAACTTATTAGCTCCTTAAGACATTCTAGAATATTACATATTCACAATGAATTTCACCTCAAACTCGTTTGATCTCATTTGTTTTTTTTTCAATTACGGTAACTTTCATAAGTCAAGACTTCTTAAATTGACGTTTGAGTTTGAATTTCAGAAGAACATTACTGCATGGATATGTCGAATGACCTCGAGCCCTGAGAAGAACAAACTGTCTGATTCTGAGTCCAGCTTCCGTTCTGCTTCCTTGGGGTGAGATTTACCATGCGCCAACGTTTTCTTAATTTCTGCTCCTGTGAATTTCCCCTTTCGACTTGTATGGTCGGCACAGCACACTACTACTTTACTTCGCTTTAAATTAAATGAAAGGCATTCCGCTCGAGTTGATTACATTGAAATACCTGAGCCTTCTTTTTACCTAATCTGGCGTGTCTTTATTGGTTAGGTTCAGGTAGAAAAAACGACTTGTTGAAAGTTATACCTAAAGACGATCGATCAGTGTCCCACTAAACCTGGTTTACCCAATACGACTCACAACTTTTACAAAAGCTTTGTTTGATTTCTAACGTACCAAACTGGAATTTAACTTCACAAGGTCATTCATAATTATGGTACGACTTCAAGCTGCTTGAATCCAGTAAGCGCGACTTTTGAATGCTTAATAAGGCGTTGTTACCTCGCCCACATAGCTGATGGATTAAATTTTGAAATTTAGTTAGAATTTTTAAGAGAAGTTTATCACTCTCTTGTGCAAACGATTGGAGGAAATCACATTGGGTTTTACTAAAATTAACCGTTTTTTGTGTGTTTTCAATGGCGTTTAAAACTAATAGAGCTTTCAGAAAAATGCGCATAATTACGTGCAGTTTTATTTAATCGCAAATGTTGTTTTGATTATGATATTAAGTACCGCCTTTAAATCTTTTAATCTGTTCCCTTAAGACTTGGAGACAAGTTGATCAAGGCCGTTGCCACTAATTCTTCAATGGAGTTTGCCAAAGAAATAAACTCCAAGTTAACAACCGCTGGGTGGAAAGCTGATGGTATGTGACTTCTAAAGCAATAATATTTGTTGATGCCGATACAAAATATTACATTCCTATCAGATCTACTCCACCGTTTGTGGTTTTTTCAAAAGTCCCCTAACCAAACATGCTATTTGAGCCGCTTTTGAGTCAACGCATCTGGAAACACGCATGCAGTAATTGCTCATTTTGTTTTAATTGTGGCCCCACACTTTCTGTTGGTTAATTATCGTGCCTTCACTGCTAGCGTACTCCACATCGCACTAATGAAGTCGGATAAATGAAGGCATTTTATTTGCAAAAAAGACTGTTTTCTGATTGGTTCGCAGGAGATCATGTGGTTACTTAATCTGCTTCACACACAAACGTGGCTGGTTTAAATTTGCGGTCATGTAAAATACGCCAGGAAAGGGTATACCTTTTTGTCTACATGGTTTTGACATGGCTAATTACACGGTGCATGTAACTAACAAGGATTTTTGGTCTCTATTTCACACGCAAAATGGTGAAAATTTAATTTATAAATATTTTTTGGGGTATACTTGCAATGCAGTCAACACTGGCGCTTTAGAGTTATTTGCAGGATAGTAAGTTTCATACACTTCGCGACTTGAATTTGTTGAGATGACTGTGCCTATCCGTTTAGATGACATAATTTCCTCTGAAATTGGAATAAATTATGAAATCAAACCAAGTGGTATTTTGACGTATTTGCAATTAAAAACAAAGATATTGCCTTGCAAGAATTTGATTTAAAAAGGTTAACAACTTTTATTTTGCTGATTTCTTCATGCGTTTTATGGAAAAATAATCGCATAACCAGTGTGTTAGAATTGTACTGATCCTTTTTTTTCAGAGTTTTGGCAGAAAGTGTTCGGAAGGTGACATATCATTCTCCATTTTTTAGATCTAGGTAACGACTACCATCTTTTCTTCAAAACCAAGTCGTAAGTTTCTTTTTGCACATTCCTGAACTAAAAACCTCGTTTTGTGAAACACCAATTTAAATGTGTAAATTAATTCCTTCTTACTTCCTTGTTTGGTATTGTTAAAACGTTGAATTACGAAAAGTTTTGTTAGAAAGGCTCTAACTGCAGTTACTGAGCTTCAGCCAATGGATAGTAATGCCTTATTATGAGAGAATATTCGTTTACATAAAAAAGATTATGCGTCGAATTCCATGAGAATGACGCTATTACCTTGGGATCATCTGCAAGAGATAAAAGAGCAACATGATAATGATGAGCGCAGCGTAATTCAAGGCATTCTACAGTAACGTGAGTTTGAATAAATGCTGGATAGATGCTTCTGCAGTCAGCTTATTCCTTTAAATTTGTGGATATAGGATAATTGCTATCTTTCGATCTGTCCAAAACAGATCGTCCAGTGACAATGACCAATCTAGGTGACTAACATCTACGTTTGTTTTAGTCATTCTCGTGTCGTTTGAGCTAGGTTTTCGGGTAAGAGTCGAGCCTTTTGATGTTTTGTTTAAGCCATCTACGCAATGGACGAATAGTAACCTTGCCTAACTATGCCAGCGTTACGTATTATGCTCTTCAAGCAACTTTGTGGGAGCGGTGGTTTTTAAACCGCCTAGATCTCCGTAGATAATGCGTAATTTGACAAGACATTAGTTCATTTGGGAACGCTTGACATCGGTCTATGAACGAGCATCGTGACAAGAATTGCATTCAAAATAATCTACTGAATTCGTGTTTGCTCACTCTTGGTATGGAATTTCGCGTCCTGATTGCCACAAATCCTTGTTGCTTTTTGTTCTGATCTTGTTGCGGTCATTACATCAACATATCAAATTTACCTTTTGTTTGTTAGATTTAACCTAGGCTCAAAGCTGAAATAACAGAGAAAGGATTTTGTTTCCGTCAACATTTTAAAGTTGCAGTGTGTCAGCATACTCTGTTGCCGTGACTCCATTTAGCCTCACTCTTGAAAATCTGTCGCGGCAATTTGAAATTTATTGGGTTGACTGGTAATTGAATCAGAGGAGTTAAAAACACCACACCGATTGCCCTAAATCATTGTCCGCCGTGTAAAAAGAGTTCAAAACTGAAGTGAGCTGTAGGGAGTGTGGTCTCATGTACGTCTTTACAACTGATCCAATTAGTTTCACTACAGCCCGACGTTTCAAGTGTAGATAAACGAGAATAGCTTTAAACTTGACTAGATTTGATTTGCTGATGCGCTATCAACTCCCAATTCGTAAACATATTTGAGAACATTACTACTTCATTTCTGACCACGACCGAACATTCATAGAACAAGCGTTGGTCAGCTACTGTAGCCAATGTGTTGAGGAATGAGGAAATGACCTCATTTTAATCCATACCGCTGTTATTCCCGCGAACGCAAATTTTTCAGTACAACTGAAGTAAAGTTTTACCATCTGGAATACCCTGTAGCTTTTTATTATTAAATTTAGTAGTTTTGTTTTCAAATTTGCCACTTGCATTAGAAAGCATTTTTAGTGGATCGGACAACATTTTGCCGTTCGGTGGTTAGTAGGACTGGTTTAAAACACAAAGCATCTATACTGATGCATAAAATTGTTGACAAATAACTTAAAATTTCAGATTATATCGGTACGTTGGCAGATGTATTTGGTGTGTGTCGACTTTTTATGAACTGCCTTTTCAAAGTGTTCTGTGTTTATACCTATGACAAGCCTGCGCTTTCGTAATTATTAGGAATGCTTGCATGCATAGCAAATTTCTGATGGTAATGAATCTTGCCTAATTTGTAGTACTGCATGGAGAGTATTAAAAAATCAAACTTACTAATCTAGTGATCGTGTGTCTAAATCGTTTGTTTGGCTAGGACGACTAGCGCTTGTCAAGAGGGCATCAATACAATTGTCACTCTCCGCTGTGGTGCCGTCTCTAACGCGGCTGGGGATTCAGTCGACGCATCAGGCACGGCCCTGGTTCAAATCCCTCCGAACTGTGCGGTTGGTACCTGTGATGGATGCCAGTTCCACTTTATGATTATCTCACCACTTGCGTGCCCCATCTGCCGGATGCAGGACTACAATCGAATCGAGGGGAGCTGTGTTGGTGGATCCATGAAGGTTACACTCATCCCTCCCAAGTACGTCTGGACGTTTTTCGTCCCGTTGATCTGTGTTTTAAACAGCATGCACAAAGGTTACGCTTGCACTGACATGTAAAATCTAGTTATCCGTCATAAAGGATGTTGTCATCAAAACGGAACAACCATTTCTCTACGAGTTCAAGAGATCACTTGTGATTTTTCTACCAACTATTTCTTTTAATGGCTTTATCATGATTCCTTATTCGTCTATTGGAGCACATCTGCGTGTCAAAGATGACGAAAATCACTTGATGGCATGGTTGTGATAATCGAACATTAGGCCACGATAAATGGATCTGTGTTAATGCAAAGATTGAACCTGGCATCTCATCCATCCATTAAGTTTTGATTCCTAATTAATCTGTTTGTGCTTGTTTACCACACAAAACAGCCAGCTTTCAGTGTGTTCTCGGAATCTCGGTGTAGGCTATACAACTTTTGCATGCAATATTTGTTCCCAAAATGTAACGCACTTGCATTTCAGCAATTTTAATGGTAGCGGTTTGTTGGTAAAAGCGCGCTTGGCTTGATGGTTTTAAAGTAAATTCTTTGAATTTGCGTTGTTTACAATCCGCTTTTTTTGAAATGCTTTAAATTTCCATTATCCTCCGTTCTCAAAATTTAGTCGTTTTTATTACTGCTTACGGCGTGTATTCTAAAGCATACGCAATTGGTTCACAAAAACCCTTTTTTTAATAAAATTCCCCTCCATAGTTTGCTATTTTCGTCGCACTAGCATATTTCGCACGGTTTAATTTTCCTATAAGGTATATAATATGAGTGGGTTAGCTAAATTTGTCTTGTGTTGTGCCTCGGTATGTCGTCTCGAACCATTCGGACTGCTGTGTTGAAAGGGTCTGTTTAAGCTAGACAGAACAGAAGAGGACCAATGATGGCGGGGACACAATCATATACTAGACAGCTCAACCTGGTTGCGTTAGTTGAGCCACCGTGCATAAACAAGGAGTCGGGGATTGTAATTGATTCAATTTAAACACATAACCACTTAAAATCCACACGAATTCTTTGTGAAATTATGTCTCCCAAAATATCACAAATTAGAAATGGCTTTTCTGTAATTATTACGTTATTTTTTGAAATAGAGCTTTAGTAAGCAACGAGTTAGTCAACGCACGTACTATTTAGATGGGCGTTTTTGGGTTGAGTGTAATACAGAAAGCCCTAGTATTTCACAAGATGCTTTAGAGTAATTAAAAGCATATAACACATTGCACGAAATGATTATAGAACAGAGCAATTAAACTATTTCTATCGTGTTAACGCCTATTAGAATAGCAATCAAACGACACAAGCATATTGTTCGAATATGGGTTGAAGATGAATATACTTCCAGTCATGTTGGGGTAATTGGATCAGCATATTAAATTTATCAAAGGTTTGTTAGATTTAACTTAAATTCAAGTTTGAGCAAACAGAAAAGATTTTTAGGAATGAATTTTCGTTCCATCACATTTTAAAATTGAGAGCCAAGCAAAGCTAATGCAGGTTCGAGAAGTTGTAGCGGTTCAAAATGCTCTGTTTGCGTAGTCTGTACTTTAAAAATTACTTGCAGCCATTTAAAAGCTATTAGAGTAATGGGTGAGTCATTTCTGTTTATCGTCGATTTTTGTAGTGAAATGGACAACACTGACATCAATTTTTAAGATTTTTATCGATTTAACATTCCAAAACTAAAAATATGACCAAGTCAGCGTTATGATGTCCCATTCCTACAAGATATCGCATTTTCAACCCAAGCCCTTAGTTGACAGATACTTTCACTTCCTCTTTATACTCTCCAAATTCGGCTCCATTGATATTTCATAGTACCCGTTCGTTACTCGACATTTTTTTGGGTTAAAATCGATGTCAGCATAAAATTGAAGACATGTTTAGACGAATACTTATAGTCGAAACGCAAGTATTCGTTTTACGAAAGCATTGAAGTATTAAGGAAGGAGGACTTAATTTTTATTAATTATATCGCAATTCGGTGACATCTAAAATGAGTTTTTTTCTAGGTATTAAATAACAGTAAAAGATCCTTTGAGACTTATTCCTCGATCTACTTGAATAACGACAATTCTTCGATTCATTATGTACACAACATAAATTGTTAATACACAATATTCAATGCTTGTAATGCGAATCAAGGCAATTTTATCATGCAAACCAAACCACGCATGACAAAGTCACTTACGAGAATCCTTTTGCTGACCCGGATCTGACCCAAAATGTATCCTTCACGGAGGAAAAACTTGTTGCTTGTGTTGGGGAAATTGTTCACCCCCAGCTATTCCCACGTGTCAAGATTGCTCCTACCGTAATCTGTATTTCATGGTCACTACTCAACGAGAAGTATCTAGAACGGACTTTTGTGAAAGTGGCAATTCTGATGTTTGTAAAGGAGCCTTAGCCAAACAATTGTATTCTTATCCAGGCACTTCATGATATTGTAATTTGATGGCATTTCGTCACGAGCTTTACACTTTAGATTATTTGAAATCATCCAATTAAAAGAAAATTAATATTTTCAAGTCATATTTTACCAAACTACTTTACAACTGATTTCGTTCATGTTACCATAAATACATTTAAAAAGGGGAATGCCGTTGATATACTGCAGTAGAAAATAGCTAAAGTAATTGATTAAAAAATAGCATCTATGAGCCGATATTGAATGGGGAGTGTGCTCAATCATCTCAAATCTAGTCCTACACTTAACGATTCAGTTTCCGCTACTTTGGGTTTGGCCGCTACTTATAATTTTGCATCTGAAGTTTGTGTATTTTAAAATTTCATTGTAATTTTTATGCCTGTTTAATATTCTTCACATAACGTTAGAAGTTGAGGCTCGTTTGCCACATTTCTAGCCATTAATTTAGCTGGTGATTTGCAGAACATGCCTTTATTTTGGATAACACCGCTTTTACAGGAACAAGAGTGATTTGGAAACGCTCAATTTATCGCTAACGCAATTCATTTTCACCTTTGTGAGCGGCTTTGAATGTTTTTGGCACGCAATGACAACTTGCATGCATTTAGTACAGGGTTTGTGCCGAATACTCCTGGCCGTATCTAAATTCATTAATTGAACAAGGAAAGGCTAACCTACAAACAGTTTAAGTGTGATTCAGAAATCCGACGAATATGCGGTAACTAAAATGAAGCTTCTTCCATAATTTTGACATAATTTTCGAATTTGCTTTTAAAATACTCTCATAATTTCCTGTTAATTCGAGCAGCGCATTGTTTTGTGTTAAAACCGTTTCAAACCGTACTGGATTTTACCAGCTCTGTCCAATAAAAAAGCGCAGAATCGAAACCACATGACACAGTAACTGAGGTACGGTTTTTGTTCTCCTTAATCGTTCTTTTTAAATCGTAGGATCGTGACAAGCTAAAATCAACTTGCAAAGCAAGCTGCGAATTTGAATTTGCAATACTTCTGTTTGTTTTAAAATGGTTATTTAGTGTACTTCGTGCTCTGATTGGGTTAAAAAAGATCAGGAAATTGCCTCAAAAGTATGGGTTATTGCTATGATCACTGCCACACGGGCGGAAGTCTAATCTATGTCAAATAGTTGTAATTTTGGCAGCTCATTTAAATCGTGGGTTACCTTGATCCCAGGAATCAGAAGGGACTGGTCCGGATAGGAGTTGTCAATGGTGGACTGTGGATATAAGGTTGTCGATTGAAGAGGTGTAATTGGGGATGTTGTGTAGAGAATAACAAATCCAAACTTGCAGTGAAGAGTCTTGAGGTAAGCCTGCTTCCCCAACAATTATGAATCTTCATGAGAATCTGACACTAGATTTAAATTTACCTGGCGCCAGCGATGCTGGGAGACAACAGACTTGTAAGCGTTTTTCTCTTTCTAAGGACTTGCCGTTCCGAACCAAAGTTCAGGACTGTGTTTGAGGAGTCCTGCCCTCTGCTGAACACGCAAGGCAAAATCGCTGTCGGCGTGGTCATGGCTATTGTCCTCCTGCTCATCTTTACGATATTTTACTGCTATCAGAGGAATAAAAAGTGGGTTGACCCAGTTCTTGCTAAAGTGAATGTTGTTTTATTGTTGGTCCTTCATTTTAAGGAATTATAGGTTGATACACCAGAGTTAAATGGTTGTGCATTTTTGATACATGGATTAATTAAGGCTAGTTTTGCAACAGCTGTGACACAATCGCCTCGTGTTGTGACGTAATTCTACTTTCGTCCCAACAGTTTTATCGCGATGGCAACTTCAATTCGCCGCCCATTTTAACTACGCGATTAAATACTCTTTAATGGTCACAAAATTTTTAACTTTACATTTGCCATAATCTAACTGAATCCAATAAATTGAATTCTTATTACCTAGATTTCAGTTACGAAAAAACGGAATATGTTCATATCGAGTTACTTTTGATTCTTTTGCTGAATTGACGCTTAATAATAGAGATGTAAGATCAGCCATTTTGCAAATACTTTTGCAAAGGACTATCTACTACCTAGCAATCTATACTGATAATAAAAGTAGCCGACGGTGATCATTGACACCAAGTGGATCTTGTTCGTTCTTCATTGAAGTTTCGCCAGCTTCTGGTGGATTAATGATCATGATTACAATTTGAAGGGCATTATGTGTAACTAAAATTTAAACGGAAATAGCTGACATAGAAACAAATCAATTTTACTAGTCCACTAATGTTTGCTAGAAGGTCTATTCATGTTGCGTAGATACTTGAGACATGTAAAGGATTTGTAGTGGACTGCCACGTGATTACAGAATTATTGATTTTAATGGCTTATCCCTAATTTTTCATTGGTTATTGCTATAAGTCACCCGTTAAGCCCACGTACTCATCCGTACACGAAAAGAAACTTGGTTGGCACGACGCTAGTAAACGAACGTACCCGTTGCCGCCTCTCCTGTACCTGTTAACTGGTTGTTATGGCCTGTTGACTAGCAGGGTTGTAAGGTGGTGCAAGCAAGCCACTACGGATTAATTAAAATTTAACTGTGCCTTGCAGGCTCGAATACAAGTACATGAAGTTGGTGGAAGGGGCAGAAGCTCGCGTCAAGAGTTCCTTTGGTAGCAGCAGCAATGGATCCGACGGCGTGCAACAAGGTAACGAATGCGGCATTCCAGAGGATGACCAGGAAACGGACATTTTTCATCACAAACCAATCAGTGCCATTGCAGGCGGAGAATCCGACAGTAAGTGGAACCAACTCACTCCCAACAGTGGCGACCTCAAAAGTGGAACATTCGGACCAGTCATCTTTAGGGTAAGCACTTTGGTTCTAGCACTGCGCAGTAATTAAAGGCCTTTCGTGTGTGGCTTCAGAAATCAACCTTGAAGCCCTCTTCTCCAAAAAAGTACTTCTTCTAAAAAGACCGTTTTGTTAGCTCTTTTCACATGTTCGCTCAAGCCGAACACGTGATGCCACTTGGCCTTCTACATTCATGCACGTTTAAAACAACTTCTGTCACCTACATTAGGGCGTTGTGGATCGAAAACACTGAGTCAATTATCTTAAATCTAGTTGATGTAATGTTTAATGTTAGCATTTTTTACATTAATCAAAAGTTAAAAAGTCACAATACCTAATGGATTGACTGCATATTCGTTGCTTAAATTAACAACGAGATTTCGGAAACAGTGAAGACGTTGAGGCGTTTTCTTACATTCTAGTGGTCCATTTGTAAATTTTATAATTAAAACCTACATGATAATAAATCCTTGCAGTCATTTTACGGGATACAACCAAAAGCCCTTATCCTAATTTTAAAAAAATCTGTTTTATTGTGAGAGAGCTTGGTTAAGTCTTTGTGTGCTTAACAGGGCGCTTTAATTACGACTGTTGACAAAAGCATCATTTTTCTACTTTAAAACACTGCTATAATCGATTATTTTATTACGCCATTATTAATTCACATCCACAGTCCGCTGAAATTTCTGCAGCCGGGTTTTCTATAGCGTTCTTTGTACAAATTTGGAAAGCACTGTATGGTGCTCAGTAGTTCCACATCAGTTTTTTAAAAAAATTTAGAAAAGGAGGTTTCTCAAAATGGAAGACTTCACGTGTTGATGAAAATACATCGTTTTGATGCGGCTTTTACACGCCTGCTTTTGACAAAAAATACTACACAAACAATTAGATATGCGTTGTTGTTCCGGAGGTCTAAATTACCTGTATTCTCTCATTCAAAATACTTTAAGTCGAATAGTAAATATGCTTGCGTCGACTTAGTATCATTTCTGCTATTTGAGACCGAATAAAATTTTGACTTTTTGTATCTATCTTCAAACGTTCTTAATAGCCTGGAAGAAATAACATGGACTGATTTGAACTGCCAGAGAACGAGCTTTATTGAAAGTTATTCGCGAATTAATCCGATGTCATTGGCCATCGATTACAATTGCAGATCGAATTTCACTCTCACGCGCACTTTTAAGAAGACCCTTGGTTTGTCTGGTACAAATAACCTGTCGTATCCGCTGCCACCTAGTTAGCCAGTGTTCGTGAGCTGTTATGGTGTATTAACTCTTGCAGGGTTGTAAGGTAAGGCAAGCAAACCACTACAGACACCAGGCATATCGGCCGATTCCAGGGCATATCGCCGATTCCTTGACCAATTTTAAATGGCATGAAATATCTGTGCTGTGAGGTAAATCGAATCATATTGAACGCGCAACTACGAGGGTATTGAGACCAAACTACCACGGGCAGCGTTCTGTGAGTGTACTTCATGCGAGAACTGTGGGGATAGGGACTCTGAAACCATTTTTTTCTATATTTTTTGCCGTCTCCACTTATGACCGTATGGATTTATTATTTCAGCAGAACCGAACCGCGGATGACTCACATATCCTCACCTTGGACGACGGTAACGCGCCTGATACCGTTCCAATCTGAGTGGACGTTTACAGACAGCCATCTTCTACCATTCTCGAATCCATTCTAATCAACCAGTGCACTGCCCCGAACTGCCTTATTTTGTGTCGGCGTGGCTGTGACCATTTGCACGTGTCGGATCTTCGTAATCATTTTCCCTGCTCATAACCGTCTATTCTGCCATCATCCTTATTTTCGGCTTTTAATGTACCTCGAGCACATTTGTCCGTATTGTCTAGGCCCACACAACCGATTGTTGCGCAACATCCCATATTAACGTTTTTCTGAAATGGAATTTTTGTCAACTATGAGTTATTTTGATGTGGGACAGAGAATAAGCGAATTTCAAATAATCTTTTACCTTAAAATCATTTGTGGATTCCGTTTTGCGTGATGCCATCCATGCAAAATCAAAAATCAACTTCATGTAGACGCGTAAGAACTCGTAGTAGTTAATTCAAAACTGATCTGAAATTTCACAAATAATATATTTCCAACATTGCAGCTATTTGGCGTTAATCTGCATTTTAACTGAGTGGAAAAAACGATGCAATATCACTGCCTTCTCATACAGTCATGTGGATAAACAGGAATCATGAGATTTCACTTTGGAAAACGGAAATACGCAAGCCTTTTAACCTATGTTTTCTAGTGTGGTTCAATTAAAATGTCACTTATTATCAATTAAAAAACGATTTTAGGATCTAATTAGTGATTACAGGTCCTCGATTCACCTACATTTGACAAGTGATTCCTGCAGTACAGTCTGCACCTCGTTTGACTTAAGGCAATGGATTACAATACTGATAATAATGCTCTACCTTTTTCAAAGTGAACTTAGACAAATATGCATTTAAAGGTGCTACAGTCCTTAACCTCGGTATGTGTACAATCGAATCGAAAATATGCGAGTGCAGCAATTTTGAGTATTTTAATCAAGAATTTGGCAGAAGTAAACCAAATGAGCATAAGTCCACATATATGGCTTATATAGCGTGATATTTCGAAAACACTGAAACTACTAGTTTGATATTTTAATAGCTTATACACATTCGATCCCTATCATGAAAGTAGTGTTTTTGGGTAAACAGTAATCAGAATGTGCAAGAAATATTTGCTAACAAACAAGCTATTTTCAACTAGACTTTAAAACTGTTGATACTAGAAAGGCAAACAAATATGCTGAGGAAGGCATTGAGCATGTATATTTTTTAAAAATCTGGACAATCAGATTTAGTCGTAGCTTTTTTCCAATTGCAAAAATTGTCAACTAAACTACGTATAAAATATACTTTATGGTGCCATCATTTGTTAGCCTCTTAAGTAGTCGGTAGTTTTGTTTAAAAAACTAAACACAAATAGACTTCAACTGGCTTGTAAATTAAGCACATCGCTATAAAAACAGCAGCTTGAACAATAACGGATAATCCGGAAATGTAGAAATTTTATGCAGGTTGAAAATCGATCAAGACTAACGTACAACTTTTGCAGTCTCTGCCTTATCAAAATTGTCCACGATTACTGACTCATTTGTCATCGTTAACCTATAATTGACTTTGCATTTGAACCAAGGTAATTGCCTAACTTTACTTCCGGAAATGTTTTTGCAGACACTAAAACTAAATATTAACACAACTCCTAGCGTCAGACGTTATTTCGATGAATGTATAACTGACTTTAAATATCAACACATGTTGCAACTCATCTCAGGTGTGTCAGGAGCTAAAATTGAATTGCTTGCACTTTGATAGACTCTATTTCCATAACATTCTGGTGGACGATAGAAACACAGGGCAAACAACTTAGCTGTCAAATGTACCACTTCGCAAATTCACAAATTGAATTTCTGCTTCAGTTTTTGTGCTTATATCACACTACCCTTAGACTTCCAAGAGATATTGATGTGGCCGAAATTGAAATTAGGACAAACAGCTTAACATGTTTCTTAAAAAAACTTCTAGTGCGCACTGTGATTCGACCTGCAGAAAAAAAGTTTTGTAAACTCAGTCACTGTAGTGAAAATCACCAGCAAAGTTAGATTACATGAAACTTAAATGATTTTCTATTGAAGTAACGGCCTGGGCTGCTTTAGACAGCACGTTAGCGCCGAAAAAGGTCTTTATCATTTGCGTATTGCCACACTACATGAACTATTTGGCCTTGAATCAGTGCCAAGTTACGCTCAAATCAACGATTCTGTTCTGCTGAATTTTGAGGTCGATTAAACCAGAAGGAAGTGCTTTCAAACTGTGCCGATCTCGAAGACACTGTTTAAACCATTGCCTTGACAACTGGCTCATTTCTTAAAAAGAGCGATAGAAGCTGAGATCAGCGAATCATCATTTTCACTTAACTTTTATCTGCCGATTCTTCCTTTTAATTTTAATGAAATAAAATGCTTTTTAAATTCCGGGTTGATGCACATTCAGCATCAATTGTATTTCAGCCAACTTGGTGAGTCTTAAAGGCCCGAATCACAATATCTTAGGACTTCAAATGATTTGATTAATGAAAATTCACTTGTTGCAGTGTAAAGCAAAATTGAAGCCTCGAAGATTATCTTCGGCATAAATATCCGTCTACCTGTGATTGATTTAATAAAATATCTAAAGTGTTCTGCACCATGTCAATTATGAAACAGCATTAATTAAATTATGGGAATTGTAAATGGACGTCGAAATGTTCCTTTGGTCAAAATGTTCGTAAATAGACATGTTGTGCGTAAACGTTTACTGATGTAAACAAAACCTGAATGGTAAATGTATCTAACCTTGTGTTATCTTGAACCACACAAATATTTTATCGATTTTGCTTGAAAACAGCTTTTTAAAATTTAAACTGAAATAAATTATTAAAAAATGATCAGGCTCCTCTACAAATTATTAAGCTGCCCAAAAAACCGCACGATATATTAGATACTGTCAAATCTATTCCTTCACTTTAGTACACATCAGAATCTGGACAACCGAGGCATAAGGTTTAATCGTCATGGCTTGAAAAATGATTCATTCAATGTTCGTGTTTAACGAGCATTTCATGGTACATTGAAATAATCTTGTTAGGCTTGCGTGAAATGAGACATATCTTAAGTGAATCGGGTTGCTAACTGACGAGCAAATTTTTAGTTAAGGATGGCAAAATAAGAGCAATATGTAAAATGTTTCAAGACGTGTTTTAATTACTTTCTGCAAGGAAAGGTTTAACAATTCATGCTGCATCCTTAAATGGAGTCTTTGCATTGTTTTCCAACTTAAAAACTTTTGCTTCTGCAATCTGTGTGGTTTTTAACGGCGGGGGTCAAGTTACTCGTGTCAAACAATTGGATACACATATATAGCATTTCGAGCCTGCAACTCGTAAACAGGACTGTAAATTTTTAAAACGCAAGAAGGCTTAAAATAAGAATCTGTGTCAAAAATAGGGAAATATATGTTAGCCATTAAAAATGAATCTTTAACTGGAGAAGTGGTAATATTTCTTCCCCTGATGACTATTCTGAAATCGCCGAGAATTCAAGGTACAGAAATAATGATAAGATTCTTAAAACCTGTACGGCCACATTTCTGCAACGTTTTGTCATCTGAGATCTTTCCTGATTCCTCCAATTAAGCATTGAATTTGGATAGTGAATTGACATACAACCCCGAACATGTTATGTAATCACCACTTTTCTTGTTTAGATGGAATAAAATTGCTTAATATTTTGGGAAATGTAAACCATGGTGCGTAAAATTTTGTACAAACTAAAGAACCTCAGTTCAACACCACACTTCTAAGCTAACTTTCTCCATAAAGGCAAACCCTTTATTCGAAAGCCAACTTGGAAACAAAAATCACGATTGCTGTTAGATAATCTCCACTCCAACGTCGATTGGTATCTATGCTAAGAATTTCTTTTTTCTAAACTTAACCCCGAAAAAATATTCTTCCCCTTAGGCACATAGACAACGCAGGTTAAAAACTAAAATACAAGCAAACACAAAATCAGCAGCCCACAACTTCCAGATGTAATCTAGCAAAATGTGTAACTCGTAATCTTCTTATTGTACGTATGAGCGTGCATGTCTGCAAGTACTACAGTTTTATATATTAAATTATCTAGAATTCTCACATGATCGTATAGCGTATAATGAGGTTTTTAATAATTGCAGATATCATGCAGTCATGTCGTTTTTCGGCTCATGAATCTGATGCTCCACGTGATGTGGAGGATAAGAATATAGCCATAGAATGAAGACGCTGAAATGGCACAGAAATATGTTAGCATTACCACTTAATGCTTTTCCTACCTACGCATATAAAGCAAAAGGGCGTACGCTTGAGTTTAGCTATTTTGACTTAGTGAATCTTTGGGATTCAGCATCCCCAAGACTTTTCCTTTTAAACTTTTGACAAATATCTGCTTATCTAATCATCCGTGTTTATGCACACTACTTTTGAATTCATATCGCCCGCCCTCTTCCTATTGGCCAATTCACCTAATGGTGCTACAGAGCATTTATCCTCACGTGGACTCAGCCTTTGGCTGAGACAGTAAGGGCTCTCTGCACGAAGCCTCCCCATAGTTTCGGAAGGCACACACTCATATGTGTTCAAACTGTGTGCAAGTGTGTGTCTCTGTAGCCGAACAGTAAAAAAAACATTTGTTTTGCTGAAAATTGCAACTGATCTCTCAGTTAACGAGCTCGTAATGTGTATAAAGGTAGCGAGTGTGAAGAAATAAACCTGCACTATCGGATAAATTTCTATTAATGGGTCAATGCTCTGAAAATGGGACACTAATTTAGCTATAACCACGAAGAATGATTGCCATTTGTCAACTCGTGGGATTTTTCGTTTAGCTAATTTTAATTTTTCCAGGATCCACTCAATGTTCCTGCTTGAATAGTCTCACGTGGACAACACAATGGCCTGCCTGATTTTCTGGTTCATTTAATGAAAGTTATGCAATTGAGTTCTAATAAAATTACATCTGATTTTGAGCACAAAAGTTAATAGCAAAATCTGGTGATTGGGGGATA